AGATGCTCTACGGCACTGGTTCTTAACCTTGGGTTACTCAGGAGTTTTGGACTGCAACTCCCAGAAGCCTTCATCACCAACTGTGCTGGCTGGGGGTTCTGGGAGTTGCAGTTCAATAACATCCAAGTAACAAAGGTTAAGAACCACTGCTTTACAGATCCGACTTCTGAAGGCTCCAGGCCGCACTCCCTGAGCCTCCCCTGCAACCAATTCCCCTCCTCTTGTTCCACACGAATATACAGAAGGAGGTCACGTACACAGGACCAAAGCTACTCTCATAAAGGCATCGTAAAGCAGACCAACCACCTTTTTCACAACCAGGATTAAGGCGCTGCAATTTTACGGTGAACATCTCTATACATCTGCTTTGTTGGAGACCACTGTGGAAATGGGCAGGTTGCTGGACTGCAACATATTCTCTCCGGGACCACATTAACAGTGGCTGCTGAATCTCAACGCCGCCATTTCTAGAAAGGTTTCAAAGGCTGACGAGGGTTGGCGCCTAGTGCAGAGGGTCGTCAACCCCCAGTCCACCGCCCTTTGCCGGTCCATGGCCTGAGTCGGACCGGGCCGTGAAGACAGACCTCCCACTTCCCCCCCGCAGACTCTCAAGGGTCTCCCTCCAGCACCACATTCAAAAGCAGCAATTCTTCAGTGGTGGGCCTTCTTTATGGTCCAAACCCCCTCCCCACAGCTGTTTTGCGCACGTGCCAGCACTTGTGTGAGCACTCCCCCACCCCTTCGCACATGCACCCGAGTGCCCGTGCTTTTTCTTTCAGATGGGAGCCTGCTTCTCCAAAGCTTTTGAAGGATGCCCTCTTTTTGTGAATTGTTTTCCCCAGCCCCAAAACATTCCAATGGGGCTTGCTTTGGTTTTTTTTTTTGTATTTGTGTCTGTGTGTGTGATTTTTTTAATGAGCTAGCAAGTTGGCGGGAGCTGGGACAAGCGATGGGCGCTCACTCTGTCGTATGGATTCGATCTTACGACTGCTGGTCTTCTGACCCTGCAGCACAGGCTTCTGCAGTTTAGCCCGCAGCGCCACCAAGTCCCTTCCAAACAGTATACAGTAGCTCTCAGCAAAAGTCCCTTTGCTTCTGGACCCGTTTCAAGGTGCCGCTTTGGATCCACCGAATCTTAAACTACGGGCGGGCTACATCGGGTCCCAGAGCAACCCCCAGAACCCTTCTGGGCCCCAGATCTATATATTTTTAAAAAACCCAAATCATTTTCTTTTCTGCTCAGAAATTCCCCTTGCATCCTCCAGATGGTAAACGAGGGCTTCAATAATTAAAAATCATTATTCCACCCCACACCCCCAGGTAAATCCATTTTTCCATTTAAAATACTCATAGAAACTTGAACGGGTTAGCCTCTGGGTCACGTCCCTCCCCATCAGGAGGGCTGCCCTTAGAGTTCCATGGAGATCATCCCCCCCACCATAAAAGTCAGGAAAAGACCCCTCCCTCAAATATGGAGGAGGCCAAATGGTGTGGAATTCTTCAGAGCCTCTGCTTTTTACAACCTCCCTTCCTGCAAAAACAACTCCGGCCAAACGGACAGCAATGGCTCGTATTCCCGCTCCAGGAGGGCTGGCTCCCCAACCGCAGCATACATTGAGGTGGGCAATAAGGCCTGATCTGATCAAGCTGGCTCTGGGCCGGCCCTCCAACAGCTTCACAACACTCGCCCGGGGTTTTAACGGTGGAACTGCCTTGCTTCCAGTTTGATTTGCTTCTATTTTTAATTCTTTGGCCCTTCTTGTCAAATCCTTGGGCTGGAAAAAAAAAGTATTTTGACACCTAGGCCAAAACAGTATCAAATAAAACAGCAGCAGCTCATTAAACGGAAGCTGCGCCTAGGCCTGGGGTCGCTTTCCGGAGCTTGGAAACGTTCCTTTTTTGGACGGCAGCTCGTAAAAATCCCTGGGCTTCCACGTGACCGCCGGCCGCGTTGGCGGGAAGATTCCAGGCACTGCAGTAAGGGATCTCCGTTCGAGGTTGAAACAATGGGGTGAGGACGGACTGCAAGACGGCAGAAAAGCCTGCGTACCCGAAAGTGTGGGGAAGAGGGGTGGGATGGGGAGTGTTTGGACAAGCCTGCTCGGCCAACGAAGAAGCCCAGATGGAAAGCAAAGCTCCCTTGGCAGAAGGCGGGCGGATGGAGCTGCCTCGTCGCCCACTGCCGACTCCTGACGTCGTCGGCCATAAATCAGCGCTGTGTTATTTCTGGCCCCGTCTAAATGTGCAGAAAGCAGCCCCAAAGCCACGCAGTTCAAGCAATGCTGGTCTCTCCCAGGCACGAGGGTGACATTATCCAGGATCCCAGGCTTTCCAAACCCCCAAGCATTTCCTGTTTATGCCGCTGCCGGCGGAGCCGAAGGGCCATCTCCGAGGGAGTGGCCGATGCCGTCTCGGGCTCTTGTGAGACTCGGAGAGCAGCGGCCCCTTCTCTCTTGCCGGGGCAGCAGAACAGGTGGTTGCCGCCTGCTCCAAACGGGCCCGTGGCTCCACGGTTTCGCCCCTGGATGCCACGGCAGCCTCCCCCCCCTCTGAGCGAGGGCGACGGCTCCCAAAGCCACAAATGAAGGCCAGGAACCATCCCGGAAAGACCACGTTTCCTGCCCGCACCTGCCTTTTATCAGCTGGCTGCTGTGTCCTCTCTGGCATCGTGGAACATGCCAGCCGGAACGTCGGCTCCTGTCTTTGCCGGCTGGGGCCACCGAGCAATGCACGGCGGAAAAGCTGGCCAAGGAAAAAAGAAGAGGAAAGGCGAAGCTTGGGCCTTACCAGGAGGCAGGATGGAGAAAAGCACTGGGAATATTTTCAGGTTGGGAAAACGAGGAAGCTCTAGGCGCATCCACTCCGAGGACCCTGTGCTCTAAAAGCTCCCGGCTTCCTCTTCCCTTGATACTTCCAAGGAGCAGTTTTCAAAGTGCACCAAAGTGCCTCCGTTCAAACAAACAGGAGGAAGTTCAGAGGAGAGGCAACAAGGACGGTCAGGAGAATGGAAGCCGAGCCCTAGGAGGGAAAGGGTGGCAGGTTGAGCCTCGAAAAAAGAAGACTGGAGGGAAATAGGAGGCCACTTTTCGAAGATCTGAAAGGCTATCGCCCAGAGGCGCCCGCAGGATCTGTTCTCCATCATCCCCAGAGTTGCAGGACATGCAACAATGAGCTGAAGTTACAGGCAGCCGGATCTAGGCTGAATATCAGGAAAAACTTCCTAACTGTTAGAGGAGTATGACAAAGGAAGCCAGAGCAGAGGCCCTTTAAGGCCAGCTGTCCTAACTGTTAGAGGAGTATGACAATGGGGCCCATGGGAAAAAGCCAGAGCAGAGGCCTTTTAAGGCCAGCTTATTCCCCTTTGGTGGCCTCCTTCCCCTGCACAGTTAAAAATTTTCTGTTCACGTCCTGGGTCTCAGTTTTCTTAGCTGTAACCTGTGGGACCTTGGGAATCCTACTTAGCAATTATTAAAACATGCGCGCGCACACCTTTTCCAGTCTGGCCTTAGTGGCTGCAGTGAAGCACTAGACCAGAACTCCACGGATTTCTTACAGAGATTTTTAAGGGCATAGGATTCTGAGGAATTTAACGTTACTTCTGCATGCATGCATCCATTGTACAGATGCACTGAAAAGCATATACGGTGGGCAAAAGTTTGCCTGGAAAAGGCATTTGAGAGCCATGGCATTAATCGCATTTAAAACAGACATAATCCACACCCCAAAAAAGTTCACCTTGCACAGCTCTGACCAGACTCCTCTGTCTGAATCTCCAGTTCTCCCACTGGCAGCCCCATGGAATAGGGCCTGAGACCCAATCACTGGGTAGTTTTTACAAGCCGAACTCCAGCTACCACAACATTCAGTCACTATCTCTGTTTACGTAAGAACTGTGTTGTCTTTCTCTCCTGCTCTCTGACTGATCAGGAGTCCAGAGCATTAAGTGCCTTGCCTAAGGCATGCACGCTACAGATCTCCCCACGCCAGCGTGCTGTCTGTTCTCAGGAACGGACACCCACCGTGTCTCCTCGACCCTGATATGGGATATTTGCACATGTCATTCTAATGTCCTACGTGCACACTGGACATCCACTCCCTCTGGTCTGAAATCATCAACCTGGGAGGGGCCCTTTTGAAAGAGCCGTCCCTCCAGGAGATAAAAGGGACGGCTGGTAGGAAAAGGGCCTTCTCGGCAGCTGCCCCCAGACTATGGAACACAACCCCCCCTCCCCAAGTCAGATTTGTCTGGCGCCAACGCTGATGAGGTTTTGGCGCCAGCTCAAAACCTTCCCATTCCATAAGGTTTTTAATTGAAATAATACCCAACTGTGGGTCCTGATGGCAATTTTTAGAGCATTGTATTTTTAATGGTATTTTTAATTGTTTTATCTTTTTTATTGCATTCATAAAGCTGCCCAGAAACCTTTGGATAGTGTGGGTGGCATACAAGTTAAACAAATAAATAAACAACATCCCTCCTGCACCCTCTGATTTTCTCCTACCATGATGAAAAGTTCTGAAGAACCCCCAAAACTTGCACGCTTCTACAGAATTTCAGTTTTTCCTTACAAAGGGATCACCTGCGGATTTTGGTATACTTTTCTTCTTATGAAAAAAATAGCCGCTATCTTTTTAATGTACTTGTTTGTATTTATTAGAAGCGGCTCCATCTCCTGTGAAAGCATGAGCACTATATATTAAGCAACTTGGGGGGGGGGCAGGAGCCATTACTTTAGAAAGAAACAGAGATGGGAACAGTCACCTTTCTGGACTACAATTCCCAGAATACCCAGTGACCACAGACGGCCACAGGCCTTCTGCTGGGGCTATTTGGACAGCTGTAGTCCAAAAAAAAGTATAGCTTTCCCTACATCTGTGGCTATTTTCCGTCATTCTCAGAGCACACAAGAGACGAAGGGAAGAAGAAGAACAATAAACGAATAAATAAGAAACCAAAAACCGTTGCTTTTGAAATTGTGTTCATGCGCACGAACGCTCACACTGAAATATCACAGTTAAGCCTTTCAGGGA